TGCGGTTACTTTTTTAATTTTTCTTGTAGTTTTTAATTATGAACAGTAAATTGATGGATATGAAAAGATTGAAAAATACGTCGGTCTCATAGTTTTGTGAGTAAACGTGAACTATGTATATACCGGGGCTTCACAGGTTGTGCATGATAAAGTCCCTTTTTGCCTTGCCTCTGACCAGTCACGGCCCGCCAAGGGTGTGTCCGCTTTGTCCGAGAAGGACAGACCGGATTTGCTGGAGTCGCTGTCCGCTCCGTGATCTGCAGGTCCGTCATTCTCGGGGTGTAGGGGACCGTCGCACATGACGGTCCCCTACACAAGCACATTAATCTTTTAGGTTCATTAAATACAAAAAAAAGCGAAGTGCAAATTCACTACAGCGTCGTTAAAAATAATAACTAAAAGACCTCTTGAAGCTAGAAAGCCTTCAAGCTTTTTCCGTGTGAGCGAGGGTTCAGTGTTATAAATTGTAAACAAAATAAAGTCCCAGTCATATGCTTGTCAACCCGTCTGATTCATCGCTCTCAAAAATATCTAGTTCACTATTAGGAAGGTTTAGAAAAACGTACGCAAGCGCTTTGGGTACCGTAAAAATAGCGTTGCGATGTAAAACCTATGGCGATGATTTAGCTTGCCCAAAGTGCTTGAGTACGTTATTCTAAGACTCCATTATTGCACAGAGCGCGACACTTTATTAGCGCGAACAAGCGATCGTCGTGTTTTTATGTTTATCTCATAGAATCAAAACGGTGTTTTCAAAACTATTAGTGTCTTTAGAAGTGCTCATCTGGGCCACAGACCTAAGCATATACTTTGGTGCCTACTAACACCATTTCGAAGTAAAATTCGAAAAAAGAGCCAACGTCGTGTTCGCGGTATCAGTGTCGCGCAGTGTACATAGTCCGTTCCGCGCTTGCACGTTTTGGGAACCATCTCGAAAAAAAACGTTTTAAGGGGTTAAGGAGGAACTTAAGCTTAAGCTTAAACTTAAGCTTGCCTGAAAGGGTTGTATATTTTAAGAACGCGTTAACATTTAAAGCTACTTCAGAACATATTCTTAAACAGAAAAGGTGCGCAGACCAGGCTTAGAACGATGGAGACTTTTTGCGAAGAGGTTGCGATATGCAGGGCCTTATAAAAGTAGGTTGAAACGGGACGCGTTGAAACGCAAAGGGTGTTTCGGAAACTGGTTCAAATAAGAAGGACGTTTAGGGAATGGGTCGAAACAGGACAAATTCAAACGAGAAGGGCGTTTAGGGAACTGGTCGAAACGGGACGGGCTCATATGGGAAGGGCGTTTAAAGAATGGGTCGAAAGAGGACGGGTTCAAATGGGGAGCTCGTTTCGGGAACGGGTCGAAACGGGACGGGTTCAAACGGGAATTGGTTGTTTCGGGCTACAGCCATCGGGCTGGGTCGGGCGAGGCCTAGAAATTAAAAATTCTGTTGGGCTCGGGCCGGGCCCGGGCCGTGTCTCTTCCGGGCCGGGTCGGGCCGGGCCTAGAAATTAAAAATTCTGTCGGGCTCGGGCAGGGCCCGGGTCGTGTCTCTACCGGGCCGGGTCGGGCCGGGCCTAGAAATTCCGGCCCGCGCAGTGCTCTATTCGTGACCGTTCGGACGGCAGATTCCCGGCCCTGGGCGCTTGGCGTACGGATCATGTCGATCGTTCCGCTAGTCGCACCCTTTTACCATCATTTTGGATTAACGTGATTGAAACATCAGGTGTACCATATTTTCAGCCATTGAGAGTTACTCCAATGCAGTTATCAGATTTGTTTCTCGCGACCACCGCCAGGGTATTATTTCCGGCTTCTGGTTGGTCACGTTCGAATTTCTGGAGACGCCCTGGAACACGCCCAGCCCGCTTTTGGCCAATGGCGCCTCCTCATTCGTCTCCTATACTTCCCAACGAATGGCCAAACTCTCTACATTTACGGCTCTGCCTTCCACCCATTCATCCAGCTTGGTGAACAGGAAAAGGCAACCCTTCGACCGTGTTCCAAATCTTACCCAAATTACTCCGGCGGGTTGTGTCACGTGAAAACACAGATTGAAAAACGCTGGACTCGGGTAGGTTTTCGAACGCCATGGTACAGAACCCTTACCCTGGAGTAAGATCGAGTACATTTCGGAACACGGCCTTCGACTTTACCGGCCAATAAAAACGCCATCTATGGACAAAAGGCTGCAGTACTGAATTTACTACGTCACACATTGAGGGTTGGCGTGGGACACTGAACCCGAGTTCCAGCCGAACGCTGAAGCGGCATTCGTTCCCTCTACGTACCGCGTGCTGGCCTTCTTTAGGTGACGTATAAATTGAAACGCTGCCTCTTTTTATATAGGTGGCGTTGCGGACTCTTGGTCCTGCAAGCTGAAAGAATTGTGTAATAAAATTTCTCCTATAATACATACATATATATATATATATATATATATATATATATATATATATATATATCAGGGTGTCGAACCGGAACCGAACCGAACCGAAAACCGGAACCGAACCGGTATTTTTTCCGGAACTGAACCCGAACCCGAACCGTTATATTGTTATCGCGATGAACCCGAACCGGAACTGAACCGGAAAAAAAATAACGGTTACCGGCTCTTGTCAAAACGGTTCGGCCACGCGCTGTTGACAGTGAATGTGCTATCAATACCATTTGTTTTTTAAGTGCCGTCAACTGACACACACCTCGCTTGCATATTTTTCTTCTCCATGCACTCAGTCTTAGGAATATAAACGCTGCATCCATGAATCTTGACATAGGAACCAGTATTGCGCTGGTCGCGGCTTGCACGGAAGAAAGAAAATTGGAAGGCTGTGCAAAAAAAGAAAAATCGTGTCATGGGATTTCATTTTCCTACAATCTCGTAAATCCTAAATGCTGCTGTGTGCTCATTTAATAACACGTTTCTAGAACGCGCGAGTTCTTGAAGCTTGCTTCCATCGGAATGAGAAAAGAAAAGGCTGTGGAGTTTGATAATAATGCATCCGGTTTCGTATAGGCACTTAGAAGCTAACATATTTGTGAGACAGCGAACTCTTCTATTTTAATATTTATCCTATTACGTCCTTCTGGCGTTGCGTTCGGTGAAGTGTTTTTCATATTCCGTATCTTGTTTAATGAAAACTTCTTTAAGGGTCTAATTTGAGTTGCCGAAGGCTAGTTCAAATAAGGAAAGCTGTATTTTCTCCCCACTGTTCCTTCAATTGCTTACACGCCGAGGTGGCGGGATAGTTAGCGAGTTCTACTTGTAAGTGGGTTTGTAAGGAGATCGCGGTTTTTTGCAGCTACTACGTCGGACCCAATTAGATGAAGTCCGAATGCGTAAACGTCGGTGAGGTAACCTTTGAGTGCACATGAAGAAACCATGCTGGTAGAAATCCCTGAGCCTTACACTACGATGTATCCCATTTCGTATGTGCTGATTTCAGATGTTTTATTTGTAATTTATTTTGATGTTGCAATTTGTCATTTATAATTTCCGAACCGGTTCGCGAACCGGTTCGCGGGTCGAATTAATCGAACCGGAACTGAACCGGAACAAAATAAATTTACCTGAACCTGAACCGTAACCGAACCCGTATTTTTTTCGGTTCGACACACTGATATATATATATATATATGGTGTCGTAATAAGTCACTTAATAAGTCAATTAAAACGTAACGAAGTCAATATGTATTTGTTGTCGCTTTATTTTGTTTGTATCCCAGCAGTGACAAAAGGAAACTTGTAACCAATACGTAAATGTATGCATTATAATTTTAAAAAAAATACTGTTTTATTTTTGGCTAAACTGGTTTATAACTATGGCTATTCTATTTCTTGTGCACGACTGACCTAATCTGGAAAGCACCGATAGCCGTTGTAATTACTAAAACAGATCACATGAAAAATATTCGTGAATTAAAGACGCGCGCATTTCGCGCCCAGACCTAGCTCTTTGGCGAACTTTGAAGAGCGGCTCTGGCTCAGCGTTGACTTGTTTGTCGTATGATGAACAGAACAGCGCACACACAGACAAGGACAGAGAAAAGGAACATGCACGACGCACTTTGTGTGCGCTGTTCGGTTCATCATGTCATCATACCAACTCGCTCAACTTACAACACTTCTGCAATTTGTTTGTCGTAGTTTTACCAATCTAAAACGAAAAAATAATATCACCGGTCTCAGCACTAAGCATAGGACACGATCATGAACTTCTGCAAAATTGCATTGCATGGTAATGTGCTGCGATAAAATCGGCTTTTTTGTTGGCATTTTTTTTTTTTTTTTTTTGTTCATTTGCAACTTGACGATATGCAAAAAAAAAATAAATAAAAAGATACGGAAATAAAGAGCTAAAGGACGGCGGCAAAAAAAAAAAAGGTAGACCCGTTTTTTCATATTTATTAACCTTACTAGCACGCCTTTCTTCTTCTTTTTTAATGTTCGGTAACCTCAAAAATGTTCATAAGTTGTACAGTCTACTTAGGTGCTTAAACAAGAACAATTGCTCCCCTTTAAGAAGCGGCCTGGTTACTCCGGCGAATGAAATAATGCCATGATGCGCAACACACACGTAGCCAGGGGGATGGCTCATGCCCCCCCCCCCCCTTGAAATCTTACATTTTGCTGGGGACTCCTCTCCCCCTCCCCCTCACACAACATTTTGTCATGGGCGCCCCCCCCCCCCCCCCCCCCCCCCGAAAGAAAATCCTGGCTATGTGCCTGATGCGCAATCAAATAACGTTTGAGGCATTCTATCGACTGAAACATCCTTCTGCGATTGTCAATGCAGTCACTAACGGCAAATAAAATGACCCCAAAAGTTAATCACGCAGGAAAAAAATAATAATAAAACAGTCAGGGAGAACACCGGTTGCGGAGAAGTCCAATTTCCACGCTTAAAAGAAACGCTGAAATAATGCCAGCCAAAATCATAACAAAACAAAAATGTACGCACGCGAGAGAGAAGGAGGAAGGCGGAAAACAATTAGCAGCAGCGGGACAAACTTCCGAACCAGTTTGAAGGTCCGTCTCGACGGTACGGCAACCTTGCAGACGACCGGTTTTTCGCAGCAGACGACAGTCGTGTACGATCCGCTTTTCCTGGACATTTTCCTTGCAATAGACCGACTTCAAGCAGCAGTCTCACGGATTCTCCCTTACCGAAGGCGTTTAGAAGGTGAGTTGATCGTGTCGTGTTCTTTCGTTTCGCCCAGAGAGGACCTTAGAAGCTTGAAAAAATCAGCTGTACCGGCAAGATAAAAAAAAAAAAAAAAGAAACGTTGTTCATCTAAAAAAAAGAAACTAGTAAGTTTTGAACACATACGCAGGGGTGGATCCAGAACTCCGTTTTGGGGGGCGGGGGTGGAAAATTTGTAGGATACTCTTCCCCACTCTTTCTTGTGCACCGGCGGGTCCACCCATGTCAAATTGCCCTCCGAGAAGGGGGGAGGGGGGGAGGAGGTCGACTTCGTTTGGGGGGGGGGGGGGGGGCGGGGGCGGTCGCCCCTGTCGCCCCCCCCCCCCCTTTGGATCTGCCCCTGCACATATGGTTTAATGAGACAAATTCTATGAGAAGACCGTCATAAAGAAACGTCACGAAGAACCATCACGTACAACCGTCACGAAGCACCGTTATGAGAGACCGTCACGTCAATTTCTCCGCTCAATTTAGCGGCGAAATCGCCGTAACGTAACGATGTCATGTTACCTCAAGTTCTCAGACCCCCGATTTTCGAGACGCGATTCTGCGAGGTGGTAGTTTGCGCTGAACATGTTACGTGCTCCCCGTTTTTTATCGGCCTGCTAAAATTCTTAATGTTTTTCTTTCTTGTTTTCTTTTTTGTGTGTGTGCGTATGTGTGAGTTGTGCAATCTTCCGAAGTATCGCTTCCTCCCAAACATCCTCCTTCGTGATACAGTTGGTGACGTTGACACCTTAACACGTTTTTGTCTTTTTAGACTTAGGCTAGGTGGCGCAAGCTACCGCCCGTTACAAAAGATATAGCCATTAACATCCATCCATCCATCCAACGAAGTATCTCACATGTCTGAGAGCAGCGTGTGCTGATTGCCGCGTTGCGCTGACAAGGTCTTTTTATTTGATTGGGATATATAGACGCTGCAAAAGACAGTGCAGCCTTGTGTGTTTGTTTTTTAAGAAGCGTCATAGCAACGCCGGCCGTCACACAAGGGAATAATTATGATGGCCAAGACAGTGTTGTTTCAGTTCCCTCAAAACAGAAAACGAAGCCTCTTTCCTCGTTCCTTCTGAACCTTCCCTACCGAAAAATCCGGTATAACTTTTCACTATCCGGATTATGGAACCGGAAATTTGTTACTGGAAACCCGAAATCCAGATTGCAGACAAAGGAATAATTTCCGAAAACCTGAATTCCAGATAGAGTCCGGATAGAATCCAGATAGATTTTCGGTTCCATAATCCGGATAGCGAAAAGTTATACCGGATTTTTCGGTAGGGTTGGAACGAGTTCCCGTTGCAAGTTCCAGCGGTTCGAAAGGAATGCGTTCCTGTTACATTACTAAGACTGGAATATGTCGTTACATTAATGTTACATTGGCGTGCTTTAAGGAATTGTTGTGCCGGATAATCCGTTGATGAAATAAAGCGAGTAAATGAAATCATCCCATCGAACAATGTGTCGAGTCGTCACAATCACATTTGTTCCGGGTCTTTGTTTTCGACTATCTCTCGGACACCTCCCCATCCCTTGAAGTCGGAGGTTGAAATAGGTGCACTAAAAAAACCCAATGCCTACTAAATTTGAGTTACTGCAGACAAATAGACAAAAAAGGAATACCGTTTTTCATATTGTTCCCTGGAAGATGTAACGACCCGTTACAGTTCCACCGATGCAAGATGGAACGGCGGCGTTCCTCTGTTCCTCCTAAAGGGAGCGCTTTCCATGGAACGTCGTTCCTTGGAACGTCGTTCCGTAGAGCGCTGGGCCAAGAGATCTGTGCTGCACAACGCCTGTGCCATTCGCGGCCGATATATGAAAACTTTATACCTGATACACGGAGAGTTCAGAAAAATATTGAGTAGACATTTTCTTGTTCAACGGTGCCAACAAATATGATGCTAAGCTCCACTTTATTAAATCTGCCTACATCAGGTACGTAGCCAAGGGAGGGCCCCATAGCCCCCCCCTCCCCCCCCTTCCCTCTGAATCCAAATCCTGGCTACGTGCCTTGCCTGCCCTACATGTATCATGGTACGTAAGCGCCTAGAGTATACCTGTGCGTCCCTAGCTTTTCGTCAAATTTCATGTTATCATAGCAGCGGCCAGAGCTTGTTTTTAAGTCGATTTTGCTTCCAAACATTGTTAACCCCAGGCACGTTATGTTTTTCTTTTTTTCCTAACCAATTAAACAAATCGGTCCGTGGCGGAAGAGTTTGTTTCTTTCGCGCTATGTTGGCAGTCAATAAACCATCGCAGGGCAATGTATATAGAGTGTTTGAAATACCCAGCCTGGACCTAAAATGGGCCGTAAAAATGGGCGCCTGCACGTGGCATCCTAACTTTTCGTCAAAGGTGTATTTCACAGGTCGATTTTGTCTGTTAAAATTACAAAACGTAGCTCCCTTTCTGTAAAAAAATAGGGCCAAAAAAACTTGCCAGGGTCAACGGCGGACGGCGACACACGCGACCGAGTCGAGTGGCGGGGCGCGTTTGGTGCACGTATTGATAGATGGCGCTACCTTCTTATCGAGACTGCTCGCGACGACCATGACCTATTAAAATGAATATAATATTTTTGTAATGTACCGTCGGTTTCAATATACACGCGGTCAGTGATGTAAAAACTTGATGTAACAAAAAGAAAAGAAAACGCGGTTGTATAACGAGTTTCGGTCCGTACCATTGCAACTACGAGACCCAAAGCGAAGGATGCCTTCAACAAGTACCAATTGTGGCCGCAAAACTTTGTGATTTCAGATAACCAAGGTGCTAAACAAAACAGATATGGCAATAGATTACAGTAAAACATGTTATTCTTTCAAGAAACAGCGCTCTTGCTGCCGACAGATTTCGTCATGCGTGTCGTCTGCTTTCTTTCGCTGGTCGGCTACACCTTCCGACGCGGCCCCCTTCGCCACCTATCAATACGTGCGCCAAACGCACCCCGCAACTTGACTCAGTCGTCTCCGTCGCCGTCCGCCGTTAACCCTGGCAGATTTTTAACCCTATTTTTGACACAAAGTGAGCCACGCTTTGTAATTTTGCATGATGAAACTGACCTGTGAAAGACACATCTGACGAAAAGTTCATATTTCTACGCGAAGGCGCAAATTTCTATGGCCTATTTTAGGTTGTGCCTGGGTATTTCAAACACCCTATATATTGTTTCGATAGCTGCTACTTTTTCTCCCATGCCAAAGTACGTCTTCCCAGGGATTTTGGATGGCCTCAGAGAAGAGTTTATCGCCAAAATATTGGAAATACTTATTCTTGCGTCGTTGAGTGTAGGCTGCAGTTCCAACGAGTACCGTCCAATCGCTGCTTTACACCTTGTCACGTAGAAGGCCTCGCTGCTTGCCTTGCTGGAAGGGACTTGCGACATTACTTGGATCACCTCATTGGAAAGGGGCGGTATCTCTTGTGAGGTAGTTGAATCCTTGAGTGGGTCTTTAGGTTCAATGGAGAAAGTGTTTAGACTCCAGTCGATACATTCCCTTGACGAGTGTAAAAAGTCTTCTCCAAGCAAGGCAAGGTTTTCTTTTAAGTGTGGAACAACCAGAAAATTCTGTCGGAATGACTATCCGTCACAATGACCTCGGCACTCCAATATTTTAAAGTGGCTGCCCATCTGCTTCCACTAGTTTAAGGAAAGACTTTCAAGTGTCAACTGAAGTCACTACAAAAAAGCCTTATTCATGAAACCTTCTTGGAACCTCAACCCAAGACAGGAGTGAGTTGAAGGGTTTCTATGACTACTGGAATCCGTTTGACGCCCGCATATGATTCATGGCGTATTCGGTGAACCGCTGGTGTCTCCTTGCAGGCCCTGGTAATACCAGATCGGAGGTCTTTTTTTTTTTGATAATTTGCAACGTTAGGCACATCTTGAAATGCACGTTTCCATTCAAGAAAACCCTGTGTCAGAGGCTTATTGCACCATGTAACAAAACGCCTTTCCTGCTTGCAATTCATGCAGAGTTTGAGAACTTCCTGACGGGAGCTCCGTTGAATCTTGATCGGGGCTGCATCTTTCGGACGATAGAATTGTTTTCGGCTGGTATGGCTTGGCCGTGGTTTGTCATCCTTAGAACAAGCAGCTTGTCCCTTCGGCTGCTGTTGCCGCTCAGTGTTGACGAAAGAGCCGAGTTCAGCTTTCGCATCTTCGTGGGTATACCCAAAACTCTGATGTTTTTGCTTCTGCATTGTTGACCTTCCCTCTATACCGATCCAACTTCTTAAAGAAGTCGATAATAATATTAAATAATAATGCTGTGTGTATGTTTATACAGCCGGAGGTCAGGCTGAATAGGCGTTTAATGTCTAAGCTGTAGATGAGAAATTTAGTCAGTGCAGTACAACCTGGGATCTTTAACGTGCATCACGCAGTGGTACACGACCACACACCGTTATGATGCTCATCCAGATCGAAACGGGCAGGGGTGCGGTTGAACACGGAATCTCTTGGTCCTGCAGCGCGAGCTTTCGCTCCACGCGCGTCAAGCTGGGTGCGCGCTGGCCCACTCGGGCACCGAGTGTTCTAGCGCATCTTTCCATCAAGGAATGTGAAGCTTCTGTAAAACTACATCCACTTCGCCTTGTCATTCAGAGATTCAAGAAGCAGCTCGCACTTATCGGCTTCGTTTCTCGTGAAGGGGCATTGCTCTACCAGCTGCATCTTCTTGATAGCTTACCCAATGCACGTTTTAGTCGGAGACTGCCTCTGAGCAAACATTGCTCTTTTGGTTTTCGGCAGGGCTTCTTAAATTATAGTGCCGCCGAAATGCTGACTTCATGTCATTCCATATGGTTACATTCTTGGTGATGAGTTGGAACAGCATTCAAGCAAAATGTTTTAAAGGAAGCTTTGATATCAACAGTGGCAGCGCGAAATCTTCTGATATTCCATTAATATTTAAGCAGAATTCCACTTGACGGAACCAGCCAGTTACATCAGTGGAGAGGAGTGGGGCCGCACT